TTCCACATCACAAGACATCCATGATTGTGATGATTTTATTCTTTCAGTGAAAGAACGAAGCCACAAGGCTGTAAAACTAGCAAAGGAAGAAATTATGCCAACGTGGGCTAGTAACAAATCTCTGCTGTTATTACATTCCTTTCAGAGTCAAGACCGCACAAACTCAGAGGTGCTTGCTCCACTATTTAAGACATCACCTACAGATTATGCGACTCTGTACACTGTTCTGATGTTGACTCAGAGCATCTCTGCTTTTGTTGTTGGTCCAGAGAGAAGAACCCTCATAACACTAGACTTGGATCCTTACCAACGTGCACTCAAAATTCAGCAGTCAGTGGATAACATCAACTGGATCCTCCGAGCAGGTGTTCTTCATATTGCCTTTGCTGCCCTTCATGCTCTCGGTAAAACAATTGATGGAAGTGGCATTGACACATGTACCATAGACAGCGGAACATACACTTCTGCAGCTCTTCGTGGGATCTATGGTGGCAAGGCCTACAAGCGAGGTGTGGAGTACCATATTACAACCTATCTGGCAATCCTGATGATGAAGTTTGATGCTATTTCCTCTGTAATTCCACTTAAACCTCTCCATATCCCATGTACTGATTTTAAGAATGCACTCCATCAACGTAGACCTGATCCAGTCCTGGTATTCAGAAAATATCAAACAACGAGAAAAAGATACAGATTGTGGACAACTTGCTCAATTTCTCACACAGTACCTTATGCAAGTGGAAAGCCTTCTCCTTCTTATCAGCACTTGTCGCTCAAGTGACTGTTACTTGGCTGCATTAGATAATCTCATAAAGTATTTTTTCGCACATGATCTCCTTAATTATGCTTGCCTAATGCCAATCCATCTTGCTCAAATGAATGCTTTCTGGGGATGTTTCTGTAAGAGACAATGCTCTGTAGATCAGACACTCAATTGAGAATTACTGTACAGGCAATCCATTCACAGTTAAGACTCCTTTGTAGAATCTGGCTTCATCAGCTCTTGTACCAGAAAGTACAACGATCGACCTTCTACACTTTGCAGAGAAAGGCCAGAAGATGACGAATGAGCCATATGATTATAGCTGATGTCACATAAGACCTATGGTAGTAAATGGATAAACACAAATTACCCTATTGATTGAATTGACCAAATTCACAATATGGTGGAACACAAGGACGTTTGTCGGCAGTAACCCCATCTTCCCTTGGACTCGATGCGTCTTTAAACCAATCAGCGATGTATACTATATCACGTGATAACCGTAATAATAATCATGTGTAATACCTGCTCACTATTTATCATCGTTTGTGCGATAAAAACGTCTGTTCAAAGCACAATATTAAGACATCAATGTTTTTTATTATATTTATATATATATCAATGATTTCCCGACTTCTTCGTTTTTAAACTACAAAATATTCGCTAATGATGAAAATCTTTTTCACTCACTTAATAAAAGCTCACCTAACCTCACTAATGTACACACATGGTGATGTGCTAATAAATTAACAATCAATGCTAACAAGACTAATTACATGCTATTTTCCTCAGCCCAAAATAAACCAATCTCAACACTAGAACTGCAAATGGATGACAATATTCTACAGGAAGTCAAAGCTACCAAATATTTAGGGTTAATAATTGATATTACCTGGAAATCTCACTATAAACATGTACTGAAAAATTTCCTCCTTAATTGGTTTGATTACGAAACTTCGGCATTCACCTCCCAAATTTGCCTATGTCCTTCTTTACAATTCACTAATACTTCTTCATATATCTTATGGCTTAGAAGTATGGATCAACACTTATCATTCCTCTCTTAATCCTATATACTTCAACAATAAAATGTTCGCCTCATCTCATTCAAAGATAAATTCCCTCACTCATTATAAATGTATTATAAACTATCACAGTTGTCCCCAAGATTGTTTGACTAATTGGTGGTTTGACTGTTTTATTTATTTATTTATTTATTTATTTATTTATTTATTTATTTATTTATTTATTTATTTATTTATTTATTTATTTATTTATTTGTTTATTTGTTTGTTTGTTTGTTTATTTATTTATTTATTTATTTATTTATTTATTTATTTATTTATTTATTTATTTATTTATTTATAATTCTAACTTTTATACAGACGCCCTAATATCGCAGGTGTACTAAGTAATAAAGGGAAATAGCGTCGACTATCTTTTCTTCAGCTAACTGCTGTTTCCAGCCATATATGTTAAATTACTGCTATTTACTTACTCATTTAGCTGTTTACTAGATGCTCAAATCGACGGTTCTGAGCGTAGTTACGTCATTTGGAACTAAATTCATAAAATTTGCTTGTGTGTCGGAGCCCAACAGGCCGATATGTTCGGGACTTGAAAAACACAGGATCTGCATTGCCAGAGGTGAAAAGTGCACATGGATTACAAGCTAACGCACAGTGTTGGCGGCGTTGACACAAAAAAGAGCAGGCGAATTTGAAAGTATACATATTTGGGGTAATATCAACGAAACAATTTCAAGGTAACAACATCCCCCGTGATTTACGATCGAGTGGTTGAAATTGACGAATGTGAGTTGTGCTATTTTGCATATATGTTCTATGTGAGAGCGTGTTAACCGAGTGTGTACATTTCTAAAATGAACATGCGCTAATTCCGTCGCGCATGACTTCTACTCTCATCAATCAGGGTAACTGTCTGCAATTTTGAAACCATAGCAGTCTAGAAATAACGTTAGGTATTTTTTATTCATATTTTAAATACAAATCATTGAAAACTATTTATTTTGAAACTGACCTTAATTGTAAAATGTAAACACGAAGCCGCGGATTGTTTCCCAATCAAAAGTTCAGGTTAATGCTAATGCTAATGCTACACGCAACCACGTGATCCATGTGAATGATATTAGATTAGTAGTAAATCTGTTTCTGCAATAGTTATCAGTAAATTAGAGATGAGGTTAATTAATGAGGCCATGTGACAGTTAGTAGTTTATTTACCTATGTAGACAACGTCAAACTAGTAGCAAAATTGTTATCTGTAATATATATCTAGAGTTAAATATGCACATAACTAATCAGGACACGTGACCAGCTAATAGTTTAGCTATATGAAGACAATGTTCCGTTTATAGCAAATATGTATCTAAAGTAGTTATATATGAATGAGTTGTCTACAGAAATAATGACATATTCATCCAAATATTTTAAGAATAGTTTATTCAAATATTCATGTGAACAATATCCAGTTTGTAGTAAATGTGGACATTAGATAGCACAATTAATGACCACATCATGATATCAGTTCCGGTGCCTTCATTATAGAACTGGTATCGTGTCCTATCTGCAACAGTGAGGTAGGCATATTAATGAGGTCACATGACAATACATTGTCAATTGCTTGAGATATTTCATTTATGCATACTATTAGGACCACATGATCTTATATGGTCGTTTCATATAATTGTCATATATTTTGTCTGCAACCTTCGTTATAGCACTGGCTGCATAGCCCTGGATAGTTCAGTTATACCTAATATTGAGGACGCCATCATCACCAGCCAAGGTTTATTCATTCGGCCACTACCAAATACAACTGCGCGTGATCTCGTGCGTTTCCATGGTAAATGGAACACGAAGTCGCGTAATTTTTCAGTTACGCTATGACGCCATGAGGCAGAATCTATTGATTAATTTTGAAATTCACAGGTTCGTTGAGACGGCCATAGATGGTCGGCTACCGCATAATTTTCATTGACGACTTTTTGTTTCTAGAATAAATTCCAATTTAAACAGGATTCTCTATAGTATTTAACTGCCTGTTGTTTTACTCTGAAATTAAAGTAATGTCGTCCAGGTAACATTTCGGTATAGCTTTCATAGTACATATATCATATTGTTTCAATTTTAATGTATATTTTACGAGTATATAGTTAATTTCCACTTATTTTATAATATGACGTAGAACAGTAACCCACCAGGACTCATATATATACCAAGTTTGAAAAAAATTGGCCGAGGCATAAATGAGATACTATTGTTGACTTGTCCAAATGTATATTTTTGGTGTTTTGGTCAACAAAGTGAAACAAATCAACGTGCATATGTAGGCCATTATGGCTTGTCTTTCTACCATATTTTAACAAAATTGATGCCAGTCGACGAAGGGACGGAACCTAAACCCATAAGTCCACGTTTTAAACCGTTTGCGACGATGGATAACATGGACAATAACACATGCTTGAAAAAAGCTGAAACTCATCAATAGAGAGCAGCAAATATGTGTTTTCTTACACAGTAATGTTTTTTTTTATTTTCGCTAAATTATGCCTTATTGTTGTACTGCACAAATTAGCACCAAGTAATACGTGATGCTAGCCTCTGATAATTCTTGCTCTCTGCTATCCCACCTATGTTTGATCAGTTTCAAGGTTATAATGAGTGTCAGATGATATACCCACACATTGCTAGCTGAAAAATCATTTAGATGCACTTTACCAAGTCTTAACACAGGTGACATAGTGTTCATAGTGCAAACCAAGGATCTAGCTGATTGCTTTATTTTTTTATAGAATATACTTGGATCTGAGGAAGAGATATACTAGTGCTAATCATGCCAATACACACTTTGTTCAAAGAAACAATACTACAGTGAAGAGTGTACAACAAATCTGTTCGACATGAATACCTTCAACTAGATTAAGCTATTGTTTACTTTGATGAGAATATTCATTGACAAATTGTTCAGTTGCTGTTGATACAAACACTGTGAAAATAGTGTATTTATACCCTTCACTGCTTGGCAATGAAATAGACAATAGGACATAATGACAATGGTTATAGTGATGTAATTACTATAGTTATCTCAGTAGTTGATGGATAGGTGGCATTCCTCATATCGAAAATCATGTTTGAAATATGTTTAAAATTCATTGTTGTTATTTTGTATATGTTTGAATTATGCTTTTACTTTCAATTTGGTAAGTGTCCCTACAATGACTGGATACCTGAACACTGTAACCAACATTCCATTATATGTATATGTCAGTAAACTAGCCTTCGTACAAGCCTCAACTTTGGATGACACAAAAGAACGTTACCTACTACTACATGAGGTATTAGTCCAAGTAACCACTGATGCAGCTAAATTCAAAGGTACATTTAGTCACATGAGAACGCAACGCATTTACCAGCAACTCACCGTACTGCGTAGACCCATGATACTACTAAAAAGGAACATGTAACCATCACACACAGTTACACCGAGTCATTCCCAGTATACTTCTGGCCGCTCAAACCTTTGATCAAGTGTGTTTAGTGTCACAAACTACAGATAGTGTACTTCAAAGGAAGGCTGCGAGAAAGAAAAAATGTGTTTACCATGCTGTAATTGACTACTGTTGTATCCATGATTTACCCCTATTCTTTACAATGCAGAGTTGTTGTAAGACTGATGCTGCAATTGCCATATCCCAATAAAAGGAGACATCTTCAGCTCCGAAATTGCAAGACCAAATATCTGCTGCTACTGTCTTGGAGACTATGTACTCACTATCTGTGAAGCGCACCTTCCATTCACCATAGAGCACAGCACATACATCATTTAAACTTCAATAATATAATTGAATAAAACATAACAATTTGAATATTTTTATTATTTGAATTATTGTTCTAGACGTCTGTTATTTACCAAAGGTTACCAGGTGTCAATATCACCTATTGAGTGCAATACTTGATATGAGGCAAAGCTAAGTCATAATAAAATGTTTTATGTGTAGTGGCAGATATCCCGTACTTAAGGGATAATGAATTAAAAGTGAATGGCGACCCTGAAAAAACAATATCTTCGCCTATTTAATTATGTCCACCAATAAAAATCATATTTCAACTCATCAATATCTGAACTACCCTACATATTGCTACCAACAGCACGCATCTTTTTAGGCATTATTGCTCTATATACCACCATCAGTTCATTTTTATTTAACTACTACTGGGAAAGGACCATTTCGAAATGTCTGGTTATACTGATTCATATCTGAAGATTAAGATAACCCGCTACCCATGTTTTTTATAATATAAAACTTCACTGATTCACATTGTCTTGCAAGGAATTATAAAAACATGTGCAATTCTTATTGGTGATACTATGGTACCTGTCAAGAAAACAATACCACACATTCATTCGAAACTTTATTGTTTATGACATGGCATGCACGTTGTGTGGTTTATGCTGGTGAGACTGGAGATAAGCATATTAATATAAGAGAGTATTTGACCACAGATCAGGCATCAATAACAACACCAACACATGTCAGTATGGTGCGAATTATAGGGAAAATATACCATAGCTCCAATAGTTCCAAACGTAGCAGATTTATCTGTAAACAACGAGAACTTCAGTGGATCACTGAATGAATAATGACAATCTTGTTGACGTTGATTTATCCAGCCCTAGAGGAAGTACTGTCAATGGGTTTGTTCAAGCTCACTTCACTTCAACGATCTGTTAGCTATGCTTGGTCAACCGCTAGGTCTTCATAAAATTAGAACTGCGTTGTTTGGCATCTTGTTACGTCATTTACAAATACTGTATATCCATTTTCTTCTATCGTCTTAGACTTTTCATCTTTTCAAGCCTGCAAGGCCGAATAGTGAGAACTGAATATTTTTATCCCTGAAATTTACCAAAGATTTACAAAATTAACATCAGTAATAATAAACGAGTGTTAGAGGAAGTACTAATTTGAAATACTAGAGCCATTCATTACATATACAAAACTACCTGGCGTCGAACAGTAGAGAGCGAAATGAGAGCGATGACCTGGGGTTTCCAGAAAACAGCACAAAACAGACAGAAGTAGAGACCCTTCGTTGCTGTCTTATATGCCACTTGACATAATATGCAATAAACTTAAACAAATATCGTGGATAAATTGAAATTACATTTTTAAAACTATCATGGAAGCTATTTATGTAGTTTATGCTAAAATATTGGCTAAAAAGAAGACACTGACGTGGAATGTTTATCTAATTTTCTACGTACATTCATGGATACAATAAAATCTCACACAACACGGATTCGTTTCATTAGTCATCTGTTTTAGATGATTCATCAGTCCTATTTGTTTGGACACCTTGCATAACAGTTATGTCGTCGTTCCAACAGACTAGGCTTCAACAACATTATTTGTGTCTGTAAACACTATTGCATTCAGTGCCTAAATTACAACTTCATTCAGGTAAAAACAATGGTGACAAATTCTGCAACACTTATTCCTTCGTGTCACCCATGTATTCCATTTAACGTTTCTCTACGTAGTTTGTATTGGATACCCAAACTCCAAACAACGTCGCTGTACCCATTAAGCTTACTAAATTCTTGAACAAAACGTACAGAAACATTGACGATCTCTTCAGTTATCTTCACTTGATTTATGAAACATCAAGAACACAACACAGAGCTTGGATTACATTCTTACCTTGATCTGTTCTTCCAAAAAAACCCTAATGGTTTACACACTAAAGTGTTTGATAAGTGGTATGATTTCAATTTTAATATTTTTGATTTCTCATATCCTTCAATTAACCTTCCCTCAGCTCCAGCTTATTTGTATACATGTCAACTTTTAAGATATTGTGGAGCATGTAGCTCAATAGATACAAAGGCTAAGACCTTCAAAGGGTTTTCAAACGACATGAATAGATAATTACCGAATATGGCATGTCTGTCAAGAGAAATATGCGAGACAGCGTTCCTAATTACTATATAAATCAGGCTAATATCCCTATTACTTGACATCTTTTACAATATGAGACCAATCACAATGGGTGTGACTAGTCAGCAAGGTATACGTACTCACTCCGAATACCTGATACCACCACTGAGACATCAGTTGTTCATGATGGTCACTGTTTTGTTAACAGTGATCTATGTATGAACATAACAACCTTGTGTTGCTTTGTGAGGCATCAAACACTATCCTATTTAGTAGCTTTGACCTATTTCGAATTTTTGAGAGCATTATATTTAGCCAATCTCCAAGCTATTTGATATTTTTCGACAAAGGATCATCTCATGCATTTTAGCCCAATTGTGGCTATTTTGGCATTAGTATCTTACAACCCAAAATTATTATGGCGTCATTTTAAATTTTGGAAAATTATTGAAAAGCGTCTTTTCTAAAGTATGATTTCGACGAGATTTAATATCGACAAATCAATCTGATTTAATGAATTATCACTTGTTTGTCAGCTGACTGTGAGTACGTGTTAACACACCACAACAATCAAACTAAACTAGAGGTCAATCAGATCCTTCAAAAATTACAATTATGCAAGATCCAACTGATCTTTGAAGGTTAATAGCTAAAATGGCTACACCATGGTAAAAAGATTCTGATTGAGTTTAATTCAATAATTATCTTCTCTTCTTAACTAAATCTTATTACAGTGATTTACTTCTACACTTATGTAGTATATATATTCAATGGTGTAATTACCTGGGCGGGGAGGAGCGTAGCGATTATCGTATTTGCTTCACACCAGGAGGCGTGTATCTGACAGCAGTATGATTTGCATTCAGTCCACTAAACACGGAATTAGGTTTCATTCAGAGCACGTGATTGAACGGAAAGACACACACCCGTCATAACAACGTCCGGATTTACGTGTGATTAGGTACTTAATCAGTAAATAGAATCAACAATGTGAAACAATATCATTTGAAATGTACAAGTTGAGTGAAATATGACTTCATAATGAATTATGTAAACAAATTTCATCAAGCTTTTATCAAACATTGGAGTTGAAGTTGATTCTGTTCAATTCAATACTTATTCTTATTGTCAACAAGCATTAAAATATTTCCGACTTAAAATGTGATAAATAAGTGGTAAATTGCTCGTCATCGTGAGTAACGTAATAATTGTTGCCAGGATTGTTCTGTCTCTTTGACATTTTGAGTACAGTGTGATACAACATTAGTGTACATTATCTGTTCTATACACAGACACGTTATTCGTGCATAATTGTGTTTTTATACGTGAACGTGATAAATAACCGCAATACACATTTATAATTGCATCTATGTACTTTATATGCCTTGCGGCCTGGACAGAATAGTTAGGCGATCATCTTCATTTATTCATTTATTTAATCAAATTATTAATTATTTGATATATATAGATACTTTTGCAAAGTTTAGATAATTATAATTCACGTATACGGCCTGAATATTTGTACACACACGCTAACCCAAATTAACGATTGTGATACTAGTTTTGGCTTGGTGTCTATTAGATAAATAAATCCATCCCTCAACCAAGCTTGGATATTAACGAAATGGTGAAAACTGTGGAGCTGTTTTCAGTAAACCAAATGTACGCTAACATGTTGTATGTTGAGTATACATGTTTTAACTATATCTACATGAATATATATATATATATATATTGGGGTAAAGGAACTGTATACATTACAACAAGAACAGTCAGAATAATATACGATTACACGCACTGCAACTAAACATAATCTGAAATGCATGTCTGTCTGGACAGAGTGGATTATGGATTATTGTAGATCGATGCATGGCTCATATAACAAACAAAACTAAACAAAACAAATTCATTTAAGTGCATTTACTTTAATATGAACATAATATTAATAGAAATCCAATAAATACAGACTGGGCACAATTTGTGGGCACACTCGATGTGATCATTCATATTACAATGAATATATGTGTGGAATTGTCGACTTACCTGACAACTGGGATACATTTATTTATTATCACTATTTTAAGAGCAATGGACATCAGAAATGTCATAGCAAATACTATGCCCGTACTTATGTATCCAAATATTAAAACGAGATGCACATATACATATATCGATATAGAAACTCAAATCATAGATTGTTGTATCAAACTGCACATATTTCTCTACCACTCAACTGTATTTGTTTTTACTGTTACTGATTTATATATATACAGTGTGTTCCATCTTACTGTCTTATATATTTGGGTTAATAATCCAAAAAATTATTCATTTTCGTCCATACAGTTATCATGAAATTATATTGTACAATTGACCATCCAATATATTGTAGTTAATAAACCATTATATAGTATCCATACATATACTTTACAGTGTATT